GGCGCGGGCAGAGAGAGGCGGCAGCGCTTCCGGCGGAACGGGAAGTGACGTGTTCCGTACGGCAGGGTGGCGGCCAGCAGGGCCAGCATGGCGGCGCCCAGATTGTTGTACGGACAGGGGAGAACTGGGGAGGACCCAGATCCCCGCCAAAAGGATCCTCACAGCTCCCCAGAGGATCCAAATAGCCCCGCACAAGCACATCCCAGTATCCCCTCCAAAGCATCTCAGCATCCCCGCAGTGCATCGCAGTGTTCCCCCGAGGGTCCCGATCCCGCTGTGGCCTGGGCTGACCCCTGCACTTGCCCCTACCCCGGGGATCCCATTCCCTCCACGGCCATTTCGGGATCCTCCTCCCCCGCTAAATTTAGGGTCGGGATCGGTTCCAGCTCAGCTGTTGCGGCTCCTCCGCAGGCTCCGGGGCCCCGATCCCGGCCCAGAGGCGGCAGCAGGGGAGGGTGAGTGAGGCTGAGGTGAGGGTGAGTGAGGGTGAGGAGGGTGAGGGAAGGGTGAGGGAAGGGTGAGTGAGGGTGAGGTGATACCGGTGAGGGTGAGGAGGGTGAGGTGAGGCCGGTGAGGCTGAGGTGAGGGTGAGTGAGGGTGAGGAGGGTGAGTGAGGGTGAGGTGATACCGGTGAGGCTGAGTGAGGGTGAGGTGAGGGCGAGGCGAGGCCGGTGAGGGTGAGGAGGGTGAGGCGAAATGGCATTTTCATGATTCTCCCTTCCAGTGGGAGCAGTTTGGGAAAGGAAAATCCCCCGTGGAATTTCTGCCCTTGCCGGGATCTCCATAAGGATGTGAAATCCGCATCCCTTCCTCCACCAAACCCCTAATTTTGGTTAAACTGAGCTTCAGGACTGGGCAGGAGCGGTGGGTTTGTCACCCCTCAGCCCAAAACCTCCCCAGGAAGGGGAAATTCCCAGCCTGAAAGCTGGGAAATGATGGAAAGCTGGGAAAACTCCCTTGCTGTCGTTCCCCCGGGCTGGAATATCCCTGAATTTCCCACATTTTCCTGGAAAACGCATCCATGAGCCAATTCTTCCCTTTTTTCCCCCAGGCTGGCGGAGCGGCCGGAGCCGATCCTGGCTGGGAACAGCGCCGCGATGGAGCCGGGTGGGTGGAAAGGGATTCTTTTTGAGGATCAGGTGCCAAATTCCAGCTCCCTTGGCCCCAAAATCCTGGCCTTGGGGGTGCCCCAATCCCCCTCTCCTCACTTTTGGGCGGATTTTCCCCAGATTTCCACACCCCAATTTCCTCTTTTGATGTTCTTGGCCTTCCCCGAGTTGGGCTCATCCCAGAATATCCATATTTATTTTAACTGGGCTTTAATTCCCTGAGTTTCTCTTCTGGGAATGCCCCAAACTGACCTCGTTTGTCCCTTTTTTCCTCTTTTCCAGGGAAAAATGCAGCTCTGGGTGAGTGATTGTCCTCCATCCCCCCCTGGAATGTCCCAGGCCGTGTTCAACCAACCTGGATCCAGCCCAGCCCTGGAATTAGGGGATCAGTTTGGTCAAAAGACCTCTGAGATCATCAAATCCAGGGGGAAAAACCCAAATTAATGCTTTTGGAAGACAATTCTGAGGGTGAAAATAAAAAAAAACCAAACCAAAATCCCCAGGAGGGGCCACTGGGGGGGTGAACTCCTGGAATGATGGAATTATTCCAGTTGGGAAGGGCTTTGGAAATCGTCAAACCCAGCTTTCAGCCCTTTTTTGGTCTTTTCCAGATGAATGGGACGCACAAATCCGTGAGTGGAATTGTTTCTCCCCCCGCCTTGTCCTGGCAAAGCCTCGATTCCGAAGGTTTTGATGGAGTTTTGTTGGGTTTTAAGGGAAATTACCGGAGGAATTTGGTGAGTCCTTCACCCCGAGCCAGCAGCAGACACTGATGGAGACAAACAACTTTCTGTTTTTCTATGCATTTCATTTAATTTTTTTGTTTCCTCCTAAAGAAAGTGACACTGACCTGGGTAAGTGGAGTTTTTTGGGGTTGTTTGGGGTGGTTTTGCTCCACTGAAGGTAAAAATAGTTCCCAGATGTTGGATTTGAGACCAGGGATGAGCCCCCGGAGCAAGAAATTATCCCCAGATATCAAATTTATATCAAACGTATAAACTCATGCCCAAAAATATCAATTTATACCCAAATCTGTCACTTTCCACTCCAATCTTCCATTTCTTTCTCTCCTTGTTTTCAGAGGAATGCGACACGGAGAATGGTGAGTTCCAAATTCCTAAATCATGGAAAAATTGTTGTCACTAACATGGAAATTCTCCTAAAGAAGAGAAGTATTGTTACTAAAAATATAAATAATAGAAGAGGAAAGTCCTAAAAACCCCCAGACTCATTGGAAAGGTGATAAATAGGATCAATAAATATGGAATATTTAATTAATTTATTAATTTTAATTTAATTTATTAATATTTAATTTAATAATAATAAAAATTGAATAAATCCAGCCAGGACAGATAATTCCTTAATTATTTTCTGATACTGGGAATAAAATAATTACCTGGAACGAGGAGAAGGAAATTAAACCCATTTTTTCCTCCCCTTCTCCTTTAATTTTTGGGCTGGAACTGCAGCATTTGGGGAGCGTTGGGTTTTGTTTTTGAATTTGGGGCAATTCCCAATCCCAAATTTCTCTGTTTCAGGTGAACTCGCAGCGGAAATTGGTGAGTCCCAAACTGGGTTCTCCCAGGTCCCTTCGTGTTTTAACCAAATTTTGGGGATTTATTCCTATTCCTTGGCCTAATTAAAAAATAAAAAATAAAAAGAACAGGAGCAATATTATTTTTTAACAATAATTACCATTAAAAATACCTGAGCCTGGGGGAACTGGGGCTGGGACGAAGCCGGAGTTCCTGATCCACCCAGTCAGAATCCTGCTCCAGGCCCCTCTCTTTTGCCCAAAATCCCAACATTTCACCCCAGAATTCCCTGCTCCAGCCCCCTGGCCCGGTTTTTCCCGCAGCCAAGGGGCAGGAGGGGTTGAATTCCCAAGGAATCCCTGGGAAATCCCAGGTTTACTCTCCTCTTCCCTCCCTGCCTCTCCCAGAGCACCTGACGGCCACGCTCGGTGAGTCCCCCCTTAATTCCACTCTTTTCCCCCCTTAATTCCCTCTCTTTTTCCCCCATTAATTCCCTCTCTTTTTCCCCCATTAATTCCACCTTTTTACCCCCTTAATTCCACCTTTTCCCCCATTAATTTCACCTTTTCCCCCCCTTAATTCCACCTTTTAACCCCTCTCTATTTCCCCCTTGTTCCCCACTTATTTCCCCCCTTTTTTTCCCCTTTTCCTGATTTCCTTTCCCTTTTTTCTCCCTGCCCTTCCCAGAGGAGCGGGACAGGAGGATCAGTGAGTGCCTTTTCCCTTTTCACGGGTTTTTCATTAATTTTGGGATCCCTGGGAGGTTTTGGGGTCGCACCAACCTGAGGAATTTGGGATTTTGGGTTCCCTTTTTTCCCTGTTCCCATCGGTGGATCCAGACCTGGAAAAGCTCCAAATAATTTGAATTTTCTTTTTTTTTTTTTTGGTTTCAGGCAAACTGACCTCGGACCTGGGTAAGGATTTTAATGGATCAAAATGAAGGATTTGGCCTTAAAATGAAAGATCTGGCTTTTTGAATGATCAGTTCCTCCCTCAAATGAACAGTTTGGGTCTTCAAATGGAAACTTTTTCCCCCCAAGTTTGTGTTAAAAATGGGAATTGTGGGCTTGAAATGAAAATCCAGGCCTTAGTCATGCAAACCGTGGTTGTAAAAAAATTAAAATTAGACCAAACTAAAGCTGAAATTAACTTTGTGCATTTTTAGGTGGTTTTAGGGCTGTTTTTCCCCTGATAAACCAAATTTTTCGGATCGTGGAGGGGGAGGCTTCCATGGAATAAAAATTCCCTCAGATTGGAGGAGCCACTTTGGGATTTTTTTAATGTTTATTATTTCTCAGGATTTCGGGTGAATTGGGGTTGGTTTTTATTTCCTTTCCTGTTTTTTTAGGTGAATCCAACGCCAAACTCAGTTAGTTCAAGGCAAAATCCTCACTTTAAAGGAAATTTGGGGGAAATGTCTCCATTCCTGGCCCCACGGAGCCGCCGCAGAATGGAAGGAATTATTTCATAATTCTCATTTTCCTGCGTTTTTCCCCCTTTCCTCCTCCTCTTCCCAGAGGAACGCGAGCGGAAGATCAGTGAGTGCCATTTCCCTGCTGCTTTTGGGGCAAAATCCCTCGTTTTGGGGCAGATGGATCCTCCTCCATCCCATCCTGGGGAAAAACAGCAAATAAATCAATTTTCCCCCAAATTTCCTCCAAATTTGTGCATTTCCTGTGGGGGAAAAAAACCCCAAATACTCAAAATTTTAATTTTTCCTCTGCAGCCAAACTTGCTGCTGAAATCCGTGAGTCCTGCTCCTCGTTTTCCACCTCACCTGATGATTTTGGGCCCAAAGCCTTCAGTTTTGGGTCAATTCAGTGGCTTTTCCTGGATTAATCCCTGTTTTTCCTCGTCCCACAGGAAGATTCACGGCGCTGCTGGGTATGGACAGCTTTAATTAACTGTTATTTAAATAAATAACTTTAATTTAATTAATTTAATTAACATTTCTGGGGGGGGGTGGGGTTGGCTCTTTTATTCATTAGTGCTGTGTTTAATAGCACTAATTAGTGCCGGGTTTAATAAAATTCAAAGCATTACTTTTTAGAAATAAAACCAGAAATGGAAAACCCATTAATTTGGGGAGGTTAGGAATGGAAAATGTAGGAAAATGTCGAATTTTGACCGGGAAAATTGGGAATATAAACCAAGACAAAATGGGAAACGCAATTTCTGGGGGATAAAGCCACAAATAAAAACGGCAGGGAGCTGGAAATTCCTTTTGTGGGAGGAAAACCTGGAATGAGGGAATTTTGGGGCTGTTTTGGGTTTGTTTTTGTGCTGGGGGAGTGGGAAGGTGAAACACGACCCCAGAATGGTGATTTTTGGTGCTTTTCCCTCCCTGTGCCGCAGCCGAGCGCGACTCCGGGCTCCGTAAGTGCAGGAATTCCCCAATTCCCACAATTTTCCTCCCCTCAAGTTGCTCAGACCCAATCCCTCTTC